ATGACCAAATAACAGCAAGAGGTGCTAGTTTCCAAGCAATGGTCGCAGTGACAGCCTCTGGGCAGGCTGAAGAGTTGCTTTGTGGGGAGCCCAGGCCATACTGAGGGGCTGCACCCCTAGCTGTACCCAATTTACAGACACAGAAGCCATGGAGGTGCCAGCCCAGGGTCTGAGCTGGTGAGGAAGGAGCCCAGTAGGTGGAAGAGGGAAGGGGCCACGGGAAGGAGGGAACCTGAGCGCCAGCTCCGGAGCCTGATGAGGGGTCTCCTTCTCCACATCCTGCATCAGCCTGGGGGTGGGATCGGGAGGTGCACAGCCTTGGTAAATTCCAGTTCTTATGAGGAGCAGGAAACACCCCAGGGCTACTGCCAGAACCACCCCAACCAGGACACCAGGCACTATACCAGCAATGGCGCCTGCAGGGGGGCCTGGAATATTTTCTTCTGCTGAAGAGAAGAGAAGAGAAACGAAGGCCCAAGCATGTCACAGGCGGGACAAGGAGGGGTCATGTGGGGAGGGCCCCAGAGAGGGTTGGAGGAAAGGCCCCAGTGACCGAGTGTGATTTGTCATCACCATCGCTACCACCTCCTGACTCTGTGCTGTCTGCCGTTGCTTTGTTCCATGTTCCTTTTGGAACCTGGAGCCCCTCTGACTCCCACACTTTCTCACCTGTAGCCTGGGCCACATCCTTCTCATGCTCCTCTAACACTGCTTTCTCTGCTTCTTTTGTTTCCCATCACAAGACAGACAAAGGGCAGTCCTGACCCAGCGTCATTTGGCGCAAGGCTCAGTAGTAATGACAGTGAGCAACAGCTTTCAGGGCCTTCTCTGGGTCAAGCCCAAGGAACACTTCACCTATATCTGCTGTGGTCTCTGCATGCCCACAATGGGAGGGGCCATCACCCACTATGCAAGTTTAGAATCTGACCCTTGTATGCTTACGTAAACCAAGAAAGATGACAGGGGTGGCCAATGACCAAACAAAATTTTTCTACTTAACTTGCAGCAAGCAACAGCAATGGTAAAAAAAACTATTGCAGCTTAATATCATTGATAGAGCTGTGATTCTAAGCCCTGTGCTACCTGCATTAAAATCATTTTTCTCCTGATAAAAATCCTCATAAAGGCCAGAAATTTAGCTCAACAGCATAAGTGCCTGCTTCGCAAGCTCGTGGCTTTGAGTTTGATCCCCGGTATCAAAAAAAGAAAAAGAAAATCCAATAGAAGGAACATCCTCATAAAAATCCTAAGACTGAGGTTTTGTTATTGTTTCATAGGTGAGAAATCTGAGGCTTACGAAGCTGACTGTCTAGAGATCAGAACCTACATAATAACATTAGTTTAATCCCTGGATTCCTTAACCACCTTGCTCTTCAGACTCTAAAGAGTCCTCACACTTCCTAATGCTCACATCCTGTGCCAGGAATATGCACAAGCAAATGTGTGGAAGGTGCCCAGATTGTCACCCAGGTTGACAGGGACACTTCAGCAGATCCTGACTGGGTTGGGGATCTCACATCGTCAAGACCCTGCACCCTCCCTCCTGACACTGCTGCTCTTGAAGGTTTGGTTGGGGGAATTTTAATCTATCAAACCGGTTTAATAGTTACAAACTGTTATGCACCTAAAAGCAGAGCACTAAAATACATGTAGCAACAGGTGACAGAGCTGAGAGGAGAAACAGTTCTAAAATGAAACCCAGATACTTAAAAATTACCCTTTCAATAACGGATACAACAGCCATAGGGAAGGTCAATAGGAGATTGGCAACACCAAGAACCAATGAGACCCAAGAGACTTACACAGATTACGCCATCCTGAGACTTTATCCTGCACAGGACGACGAGGCTCTTGGAGCTTACTCCTCTAAATCCAGGTAACCACTGCCCGTCCGAAGGATCATGATGTCACCACCACAGTGAAGATGGTGCAAAGGAGACAGGAAGGTGGTGGGGTCAGAAGGTCCTTACTCCATGAGGATACCAGCTCGCATTCTGGAGCCCTGAATGTGAGCTCACTAGAAGCTCATTTACTCACTAGAAGTCTCTTCAGAACCTGCTGCCCTCGTTGCACTCCCAGTTCATGGGCAACTAGAGAATAAATGTGTTATCATTCACCGCCCTTATGTCACGGCTCACTGGCACTGCATATCCAGCCCCAGTGGTCACTCTGCCTGGAGCTGCCCAGGCAGGAGACCTCACACTGATAGCTCCAGCAACCTCCTTCTGCACAGGGTGTCTGCTAGGGCTGCTGTGGTCCCGGGACACCTTTATCTCTTCCATGAACCACAGAAGCTGGTTACCCGAGAGGCACAGGATGGAGAATCCAGCGTCATCTGAGAGGCAGGAGCGCTGAATCTTGTTCTGTATTGCTGCTGTGGATACAGGCTGTGTCACTGGCTCGGCTGACAAATATGAGAGACCAGTGGAGCCTGGGACTGGGACCTGGGCCACTCTCAGGAGCCACAGCGAGATATATGGCATCACCAGAGGACAGGGTAGATCCCTCAGAGGCTGGACAGAGTGTGGTGAAGGACCTAGAAGTTAGTGCTCATGGGATGTAGTTCAGGGGTAGAGCCCTTACTAGCGTGTGTGAGGTTCTAGGTTCAATCCTCAGCACTGCAAAACAAAAGCAAGAAAGCAGAACCCCAGAAATTAGATAACCTTGTTATCATCTTCGTTCTGAGTGGCAGCAGAGATTTGCTCTTGGAATGGATACAAAATCTTCTGTGTTTCTGTCTTCTTATCTATAGAATTGTAACAGAACAGCCCAGATCCCTCCACAGTGACTCCTGACTGGTGTCCTAGACTTTGAGGTCCATGCTACCAACCTCTTCCCAGTCCCAGTTCACAGTTCCAGCATCTTCTTCATCAAGTGGAAAGTTTTTTTTGTTGTTGTTGTTGTTGTTTTTTTTATTTTTTTTCCCCAGGACACTTCTACGTGACCCACAAAACATTAGGCCACCACACCTAAGAAAATTTCCGTATATGTCAGGAAAGAGGGCTGCCATCTTTTTTTCTTTTTGGTACTGGAATCAAACTCAGGGCCTTGTGCTTATCAAGCAGGTGCTGTGCCTCTGGGCTATATCCCCAGCCCACTGCCATCTTTTGCTTTAATCCCTTTAGCCCTAGCAGGTTTACCTGCTAAATGTCCCCTTTTTGCTAAATAATATAATATGGAGTGGGGAATGGACCAAACTAGACCTAATGACTTAGGAATTAAAGAGTCTCCCATTTGGGCTGGGGATTTAGCTCAGTAGCATAAGCACCTGCCTTGGAAGCACGCGGTCATGAGTTCGATCCCCGGTACTGATAAAAAGTTAAAAAAAAAAAAAACAGTCTCCCATTTAAGCAATGTTTGTCTGATGGTTTTGCTTTCTGGCCTTGGAGAGAAATATCTCTGGGAAAAAGTGATTACAGTGCTGGCAGTAGGCTGGCATGCTTAGTATTCCCTAGAAACTAATTTTCATGCCAGTTCCTGTGAATACAGTGTGGCAAGTAGTTACTTCCAGAGTGGGAAGTATTTATTTTATTTTATTTTATCTTTTGTAATAAATACATTTATTTTATTTTATCTTTTGTAGTACTAGGGATTGAACCTAGGGCCTTTGCACTAAGATACAACTCCAGATTTTTTTTTTTTTTTCATTTTGAGACAGTCTCACCAAGTTGCCCAGGCTAGACTCAAATTCATGATACTCCTGCCTCAACCTCCCAGAATTCTGGGATTACAGGTGTACACCACCACATCTGGCAAGACAGAAAAGAGAGAGAGGGGAGAGAGGGAGGGGGAGAGGCAGGAAGGGAGTTAAATATAGTGAGATGTGGCTCCACATCCACTGGCATGACCACAGTCACAGAGACAGATAATAGCATGTGCAGCATGCACGGGAATTGGGCCCCCATCCCCACCTCGCGGGTGCCATATAGTGCTGTGGGAACACCACATCTTTGCTTTGGAAAACAGTCCCTAGGGTCCGCAGGCTCTAAGTTGTATCTTTGACATGGGTATCTCTGCGATCAATATTTTACACCGCCTGTCCCCTGCTCCACAGAACATAAATATTCCGTTCCTACCACGGGACCTGTGTGTCAGGAAATCAATCTCAATGTCCTCTCGCAGCCCCTCAAAGAGGTTCTGCTCTGGCTGTGGATTTCCTTAAATGGTGGGTCCTGCAGTGCCTCGTGCTGGCGCCATCTGGTGGAGACATGGCATCACTGCAGGTGTTGCACCCCTCCGTGTAATTTTTAAGTTTTCTGTCATATTAAAAAACCATAAAAAATCGGAGGCTGGGGCTCAGCAGCATAAGTGCCTGCCTTGCAAGCGCGCGGTCGTGAGTTCTATCCCCGGTACCAGAAAAAAAAAACAGAAAAAGAAGCAAGTGGAAATCGTTTAAAGGATATATTTCATTCAACCCAATGTATTCAATGCAATGTGTTGCTAACAAAAAAAGTAACTCAGCAACTTAGTGAGATTTTGTCCCAAAATTTTCTTAAACATTTTTTGTAAACATTTGGAGATGTAGCTCAGTGCAAAGGCCGTTGGTTCAATCCTCAGTAACGGCAGGGGGGGGGGGCAAATGAATACCACAGTAATTACATTCATAGAGACACAGAAAGTAAGTAGTGAGATAGAAACGTGGAATGAGGAGTTATTTCTTAATGGGGACAAAGTTTCAGTTTTCCAAGATAAGAGTTCTGAATATTGCAGGGTGTGGTGACACACATCTGTAATCCCAGCACTCAGGAGGCTGAAGCAGGAAGATTGCTGTAAATTTCAGGTCAGCCTGGGCTACATAGTAAGTTCAAGGCCAGCCTGAACTGACTACAAAGCAAAAACTTGGCTCAGAAAACCAAAAAAAGGTTCTGGAAATAGATGGTGGTGATGGTTACCTGGCAATGTGACTGTAACTAATGTCACCAAACTGTACACCTAAAATGGTTTAAATGATCAATTTTATGTTATGCATATTTCATCACAATAAAGACTCAACAGGCAAATTTAATTTCAGTAATATTTTATACCAATAAACTAAAAATGCCATTTCAACATATAATCAGTTTTTTAAATTATTGAGTTTTGCCCTTCTTTACCATACTGGCCTTGGAAACCTGGTATGTATTTTAGGTCTCATCACATCTTTATCTGGACTCTCCAATGTTTCCAGTGCCCCATAGCCATGCTGGGCTGGTGGCTGCTCCATGCACAGTGCTGACCTTCAACCTCATCTGCGAAGATCTCTGCGATGCTCCCTCCACACCCCTGGCTCTGCACCAGGTACACCTGTGGTGCCTCTGAGCACTTCCCTTGTTGTCTGCAAACAACTGTGCCCAGAGCCCAGGGCCAAGCCCTGTGTTGTGTCACAGACACCTTCAGAGAAAGCGCTTACCAAGGAGCATGTTGATTCCAAATCTGATTTGACCTGCAGATCTCTCTTCTCCCTTACATAAATCTGTATCTCATGTGTGTGTGTCAAAATGTATGAGCAGCACCTCAGATAGTCATCTCAAAGTCTGGGAGGCGTGAGCCTGGCCAGGAGGACTCCAGGTGTCCCTCCTCCTGCTCCTCCTGGGGCTCTCCCTCCTCCTCCTTCTCTTCCTCAAAGTCGCCACTCTCCACCTCCTCCTCTTCCAGGATGGTGACCAGTTCCTCCTGAAGAGCTCCCATCTCCAGCCCCAGGCTGCACAGCTGGCCTAGCAGCTGGACATCCACTTGGCGCAGGTTCCCCTGCCGGGAAGGAGAGATGTCACAGCATGCCACCCAGAGGGCAAGGGGTCCTGCAGGATCTGGATGAGAGCAGGTCCCAGCTCAGATCCTGGCCTTACAACACCTGGGCAGGGCCCTCAGTGTGCATCTCCCAGGGTACCTTGGGAGCCTCCCTGTCTTTGTCTCTCTTCATTCTCATTCATATTCTCTATCTCTCTCTCTCTTCGTCTATGTCTCTGTCTTCCTGCCTGTCTCTATTTCTGTTTCCCCATTTCTCTGCCCTTGCCCTATCTCAGATTCAGTTTGAATCTGTCTCTAACCTCTGATTTCTACCTGTGTCTCTTTCTGGGTCTCTCTGTCTCCATTCCTATCTCTCACTGTCTCTGCCTCCCCCTCTCTGCCTCTATTTCTCTATTCCTCTTGGTTTCTGTCTGTCAGTCTCTGGCCCTTTCTATTCACATTTATTCTGTCTCCTCTCTTGCCTTTCCAATCCTCTCACTCACCAGCTCCTGCCAAATCCACAGCAGACTCTCCCTGGCACCTCCAAGATCTGCCCCCACGGACATGAGGGTCTGGCCAGGGCTCTCCTCTGGAGGGGCCCCGCTCAGGGCCCGAGGGGGTGGGCCCAGTCCTGGGGGCTCCAGTCCAGCCTGTTTCAGCTGCATCCACAGCTCCATCGTCTCAGCCGTGGCCTCCAGAACCAGGAAGTAGCAAGGTCCAGGGTGACCCAGTCCCATGGTGAGCTGGGGGGAGGGCAACGAAGAGGACCAGGCAGACGCATCCCAAAGTCCACTCTTCAGTTAGAATCAGCTGGCTGATCTTTTTTTCTTCCAACCTCTGCCCCTTGTGGAGGACAAACCCCACCCTCCTGCCTCTGCTCAGGCCTGAGTGTTTGCAGCTGCCTGGCCTCTTCTTTCTGCTTCTCCCAGGCCTCCTCCTCAGCCTCTCCCACTGGACTTTCTCTGGACCCGTTTTGCCCACATTCCAGGGCCTCCCACCAGTGTGCTGTGGTGTCGAGGCAGCTGGCTACCATGCAGTGGCCAGGTCCACTAAGCCTAGACTTGTCATGGCTGCTAGCAATGTCAGGGTGGCCCTGCTGTGCAGGAAGCTGGGAAGGGTTGTCAGCTTCCCTCTGCCTCTCTCAAGCCCGAAAGGTCACCATCCCCCGGTAAGTTAATGGCTCGCAAGGTCCTGACTCTGTCCTGAGCTCCAGCCCCCAACTCAGCAGCTCCACAGAGACATCTCAGACATCTCAAAGCCACAGGGTCAGAACAGAACTCTGTCAGGGACTACTCCATGGGATTCAGTTCCTGCTGGCACCATAAGAAACTATCACTATCTTTGTGGTTTAAAACACGTTATCCTTCAGCTCTGGAGGTCTGAAGTCTAACTTAGGTGCCCAGGGCTAGTTCCTTCTGTAGGCTGTAAGGGAAAATCTATTTCTCAGTCCTTTCCAGCTTCTAAAAGCCACCTGCTTGCCTTAGCTCACGGCCCCTTCCTCAGATCACTCTAACCTTTTGCTATCATCTAGTCTCCTATGAAACCTGACCCTCCAGCCTCCGTGATTATATTGGCCCTAAACAGTTATCCATGATAATCCTCCTATCTCAAGATTTTTTAACTTCATCGAATCTGGAAAAATTTCTTTTATCATTCAAAGTGATGGAGTCATAGGTTCCATGGACATGGGTACCTGGGCATGGGGTCACCACCCTCCCAATCCTGCTGCTTCCTAGATTCATCCATCTCCGTAAGTGACATCAGGATCCTTTTAGGTTCCTGAATCTGCTGATTCAAACTTCAAAACAGATCCAGAATCAGAGCACTTCTTGCCATTGTCACATCCCATTCCTGTTCATCTATAGCCTGGACCATTGCAGTAGCTGCTTTACTGGTTCCCTGCATCCACTCTTGTCCCCTAAGATTCATTCTTCACCTGGCAGAAACTATCGTTTTGGCTGGCTGTGGTGGCACATGCCTGTAATCCCAACACTCAGGAGGCTGAGGCAGGAGGATTGCCATGAATTCAAGGCCAGTCTGGGCTACACAGCTCAAGGCCAGGCTGAACTAATAGCGAGACCCTGTCTCAAAAAAAATGATCTCAAAATGTAAATCAGATATTAACATCTTCCTCTTCCCACTGGGAACAGAATAAAATTCCGCACAGTCAGCCCCCTGCCCACCTCTCTGAACCAGTCTCCTGCTTCTCTCTCCAAGCTGGTTACCCCTTAGCACATTTGCATAAGCTACCAACTCTGCCCAGGACTCTTCCCCGAGAGCTTTTAATGGCTGTTTCCTTCTCATTCATTCCACTTGTGTCACCTCTTCAGAAAGCATTTTGCTAATGACCCTATGCTCCAGTCACTTCCCATTACAGTGCCAGTTTTTATATACTTCTAATCGAACCCTGCCGGAAATTACTTATTATTTTGTGCATTCATATATACGGGTCTCACTACGCAGTTCAGGCTGGTCTTGAGCTCACGTTGTAGTCCAGGCAGTTCTCCAACTTGCAATAGTCCTTCTGCCTCAGCTTCCCCAGTGCTGAGATAACAGGCATGCATCACTATTCCCGTCTGATATTCAATTATTTCTTATCCATTCTCTCCCTACCTGGTATGTTGACTCCCTGAGCAACAGCAGGCTCTGCCCAGCTCACGAAGGTAACCTCAGCACCCAGAACAGTGTCTGTCACTCTGTGGCATCAGTATCTACGGAATGAATAAATAATTCCATCCGAAGACTTCACATTGAATCTCTAAGTGAGCTAAGCGTGAACTCCAAACTAAAGCCCAACTCTCTATGATACTGGTCTTCTGCTACCTAACCTCTTTTCCCTCGCCCAGTTTAAAAAAAAAAAGTCGTGCTCAGTTTTTCATGCACACCATTGTCTGTTTAAACAGAGTGGTGAGGCAGGGAGTAGGGCGAATGCCCACAATCGCTGCAATTTGGGAGGCTGAGGCAGGACGACTGCTGTGAGTTCGAGGTCAGTCTGGCTACAAAGTGAGTTTAAGAGCAGCCTGAACTGCATAGTGAAACTCGGTTTCAAAAAGACAATAAATAAATAAATAAACCAGAATGATGTATCAAAGAATTGACGCAGCAAGTGAGAGCTGGATCAAGGAAGCTCCAGGAAACTGCAGTCCAAGAAAAGGAAAGTACCCCAACAGGAAGGACTGTCCACCTCTCCTAGAGAAAGACTTGCAGAGTTCTGCTTTAAAGCCCGTGGGAAAGGACACCGGGTAATCGCTAAAACCGGGAGATTAATTATTGAGCGTGTCTTTAAGACGCGGCCAGGAAGGCGAGGGACGTGGCCGTAAGAGTGTGTACGACGGAACCCGGAAGTTGGGAGGAAAGATCGGCCGCTTCCGGTGACGTACGCCCAGCAAGATGGCGGCGCCCAGAGCGGTAGGTGACTGCATCGCTTAGAGGCCCTAAAGTTGATCCTTGCATCCTCTGCCAACGAGATCTCTGTCGGCGCCCAGGAGACCAAAGAGTCGTGGGGAGCAGGGACGTCCCCGCTGGGTCTAGGAGCGGGAATATGCACCTATGGATGCCCGGCCCGAGTGATCCCACAGGAAGCTCTAGAGGCCACAAGTGGGAAAGGACTTGGTAGCGAGGAACCAGTAAGAACTAGTAGTATGGTCCCAAGAGAGGCGCGTCCAGCCAATCAGAGGAAAGGACACCAGGGTGCAGACTAGGAGTCAAGGGGCCGGCGAGGTTAGGACCCGGAGTGAAGGAGCTCTTGGAAGGGATTGGTTTGAGGATCTGAGATTAAATCCCAGGATAGAGATAAAAGAATAAGTTTGATGAAAATTCATGGGAAATTTAGGAATTTTGATGGAAAACCAAAAATGGGGTGTGGTGGGGGCTGTTGAGAGAAACCAGATGGTGAATTTGGGAGCCCCAAGGGGGAAACCTGGGGAAAATTTAAAAATTGGGGTAGTGTTTTTTTCTTTTCCTTTTCTTTTTTTTTTTTTTTTTTTTTGAGACAGTCAGTTCAGGTTAGTTTTGAACTCACTATGTAACCCAGATTGGCCTAGAATTTATGAAGATCCTCCTGTCTCAGCCTCCTAAGTGCTGGGATACATAATGAGTTCAAGGCCAGTGGGAGCTACAAACAAGACTCAGTCTCAAACAAAGAAATGAGGAGAGAGACACAGAAAGAGAAATTAGATTATTGATACACTAAAAAAGATAGTGGGTGAGTTCCAAGAAAGACTTGTGAAATCAGGTTGAGAGATTAACGTTCTTATAACACATGGGAAAAGATAACAAATAGAGACATCTTAGATAGACCTTTTCCACAATTCTTGTTCCTTGTTAATATAATGGAACACCTGCATTGTAGCTAAAATTGTATATCAAACCTGAAAATCGAACTATGTGTGGCAACACACACTTGTAATCTCAGCACTGTGGGGGAAGCTGAGGCAGGAGGATCACTGCAAGTTTGAGGCCTGCCTGGGCTACACAGTGAGTTCAAGGCCAGCCTAAACTACACAGTGAGATCCTGTTTCAAAAAAGAAAAAGAAAAATGGTTGCACGTTGACAAAGTCATGTATTCTGGTCTCACAGAAACACCTTTAGTTCAGATAATAATATCTACATACATTAACTTTTGGGGATGGATCAGGGCTCATTTGTCAGGATGAATAGATCTTATATTTTATCTAGTGGTGTTTCTAGGCGATTTGGTGCAGTGCCTCAAGACTGCAGAGAAATTTTGTTGCCAAGAGGTTTAACACTTGTCACCAGAAAGAGAATCCTGGTAAAATCAAGGAATCAGTTTAGGGAAAATTAAAGAAATTGAGTTAAGAATTGTGAGATAGTGAACACCTGTAATTCAGGTGGCTCGAGCAGGAAGATCCAGCTCCAGACTCAGTCGTTTCTCTCCTCCCTCTCCCCAGGTCTTGCGCCTGGTACCCCCCAAATGGAATGTAGGTAGGAGGGGCTTCCGTGATCTGAGTGGAGTGGTGACCCCAGAGCGCAATCTGAGGAAGAAGAGGACGCTGCTGCAGTTCCTGTCTGACCATTTCTATGAGGTGGAGTTTCTGAGGGAGTATTTGCTCCAGAGGCAGATACAGAAGGTGCATCTGGACAACAGGTGAGAGCCTGAGGTCTGCAAGCCCTGGCACAGACCCTGCTGCTCACCCCTTATCAGGCGGAGCCCAGCTCCTGCTGCCACTCCTGGGCAACACTACATTTCTACTGCTAGACTTGCTGAGTCTTTCATCTTAGTCTAGGGTCCATAGGGCTGCAGCTCACAAAGGAGTCTGCTGGCTCCAGCCCCACCTGGAGTTTGCATCTTAGATGTAGTATGACTGAAACCAAACCTGTATTTCTCCTTTAAAAGTTTGTTCATTCCCCAAGCCTTCCCCATCCCAGGAAGAGATGCCACTGCCACCCAGTTGTGAAAGAGTCCTGCCTGCTGGGCATGGTGCCACAGGCCTGTAGTCCCAGCACTCAGGAGGGTGAGTCAGGAGTATGACTAGGAATTTGAGACCAGCCTGGGCTACAGAGTTGAGTTCAAGGCCCCCTGAACTATATAGTGAGATCCTGTCTCCAAATAAATAAATATATAAATATATAAATAAAGGAATCCTCTGTAATTCCTCTCTGGATTTCTCGGCCTACGTCCTGTTCATCATTGCTAGAATATTCTAAATGTGACCATTGTCACACCTTTACTGGCCCTGATCTGAGCCCCTTCATCTCAAGGTTATATTATTATAGTAATCTCTTAATCTTGTACTTTCTGTCTTTATTACAGTCATCAAAGCAGCTGAAGGATTCTTAAGAAAGTAAAACAGAGGGGCCAGGGTCTAATTCTGTAGTAGAGCACTTGCTTAGCATGATCGAGGTTCTGAGTTTTGACTCAGCACCACTAAAAAAAAAAGAAAATTTTAGTCATGCACAGTGGCACCCATCATCCTGGCATTCTAGGTGACGGAGGCAGGAAGACTGAAAGTTTGAGCCCAGTCTCGGCAGCTTAGCGACTTAGTGAGATCCTGACTGGGAATAAATAAATCTGGGCTGAAGATGCACCCAGTCAACACTGCAGCATTACCAACAAAAGTAAAATCGGAAACATTACAACTCTGCTTCAGCCCTCTGCTTACAACTAGAATAAGAGGTGCTCTCCAGGCCTGAAACCCCCACAAGGGCTGCTCCTGGACTCCAGGACACAGTGGCCTACCTATGTGACCTTCCTAATTCAGGTCTCTGAACCTTGTACCTGGCAGCCTTGCCTTGACCTCCTCATTCCTTCTCACTTTCAAGTCTCTATAAATCCTGCCACTAAGCAGGAGCATTTTTTAATTCAAAGCTAAATTAGCCTCTGCCAACCCTGCCATTCCCACTTAGCTGTCCTGTGGAGCTAGTAGCTCAAGATTCACAGTGGTGTCCTGGTTTGTCATCTGCCTTTCTGTCATACGGCTCCAGAGGGGCAGATGGGTATTTGTCCTGGCTACCAGTGTGTTCACAGTACCCAGCAAGTGCCAGTCAGTAAAAATGCACAGTGAGGCCTTCTGCATCTGCCTGGTGTCCTGGGCACTGTCCTTCAGCAGCACTGGGGCCTGGGGAAGGTGTGGTGCTACAAGGCCTCATCTTTACTGCATTTTTCTCAGCAGAGCCTACAGTCACATCGAGAGCACATATGGCCCAGATATCGCAGGAGCCTACTTTGTCCTGAAGCATGGAGGAGCAGTCAAGTATGACAGCAGAGGTTTCCTGTGAGAGGATGGGGGTGTGGGTGTTTGGAAGCAGCCTCTGCCATCCCAGGGACTTCCCTGTGATCTCCCATCCCTGCCCTCTAATGGTTGTAGAGCAGGAGACCTGTTCCAGGGCTTCTGTTGTGTCGTCTCTAAAGTGTGATGGTAATTATACCTAGCTACAAAGTTTACTGTAAAAGTGGGGATTTTGCAATGTAAACACAGGCCTACCCTAGTGTATGTGGTCAGTAAAATTAGCCAGAAGTAGTGGTAGGCAACTTTGAGAAGCTGAGGTAAGCAGATTACTTGAGCCCAGGAATTCAAGGCCAATGTGAGCAACAAAGTGGGACCCTGTCTCAAAAAAAAATTGTTTTCCCCTTTATTTTATCCTTTGTCCTTTTTGCCTTCTTTTTCTTGGCTTTCTGCCCTTTATTTTTGCCTTTTATTCAGGAAGAGATAAACCCATAGGTTTCACCTGCCTCTCATGTTTGTTCCAATTCAAACTCCCATCTGATCTGAGTGCTTCTAACAGCAGCCACCTCAGAACAGTGCCCATCACTCTTGGCCATCCACAGGGATGTGTGCATGTAGCTCTCTGCACTTAAGTTATCAGTAATTCTCAGACACTTGTCTCCATGGGTAATGCAGTTGTCATAGTGGTATATGCATAGCACCTTCAGCCAGCTGATGTTTGGGAAGCATCAGTCCTCGAGGTCCCATGCTTGAAGGTAGGAGGCAGGGGAGGGCAGGCACCTGCTGACGCTCCCTCTTCCCTCCCTTTTTCAGGTTTCGAGACATGGAGTGGATCAGGTCAGAGGAGTGGAGGCGGTTCATTGCTGAGGTCTCCAGGTTCCAAGCAGTGCCTGTGGAGGCTGTAGATGCCAGTGGCTCTGCCATCAACTACCATGGCCTGGACAGCCTCTGTGAGAGGGCTCAGGGCGGGGCTAGGAAGCCTCAGACTTCCCCTGTGCTGGTGATTCCAGAAAGGCCTTCATGGCATCACTCTGTCCCCCTGCAGTGTCCCTGAAGGAGCTCCAGTCCCTGTCACTGCAGCGCTGTCCCCACCTGGACGACTGGTGCCTTAGCCGCCTCTACCCACTGGCTGGTTCGCTGCAAGAGCTCCTGCTGGCCGGCTGCCCCCGCATCTCAGAAAGGGGCCTCGCCTGCCTCCACCATCTCCCGTGAGAGCACAGTTCAGGCTGGGCCCCACCTCAGGGTCCTGAGTGGTACAGGCGGGCGGGGTTGTATAAAGTGGGCAGAGGGTGTAAACTAATGACCCCTGTTTTCTTTTGTTTTAATGATACCTCCATAGTACACACACTCCTGCAGAACAGCAGGAGCTAGAGGCACATGTTTGTAACCTTAGACAGCGATGGATTTGATTGGAGTGGTAGAACACTTGCTTTGTAGCATGCATGAGACCTTGGCTTCTATCCCCAGCACCCCGCACCAAAAATAATAATAGAAACGGGAAGCCAGGGCTGTAATAAAGACAGGGCCTCTATACACACACACATGCAAGCATGAGGTCTGTGTTCTTAGTTCAGCCTCCTGCCCTGTCCCTTCCAGGAACCTCCGTAAACTGGACATCTCAGACCTCCCTGCTGTGGAGTTCCCAAGCCTCACTCAGATCCTGGTGGAGGAGATGCTGCCCAACTGTGAGGTCATTGGGACTGACTGGGCCCAGGGCTTGAGGCAGGGGCCAGAAGAGCAGCCTCAGGACACAGCCGGCCCCATCCCTGCCGAGCCTCTGGCCCAAGGACCTCGGCGATCCCTGTGGAGTATCTGATGGCTGCCTACTCTCTGCCTTCGGAGGTAGGGTGCATTCAGCATTGGCCATGAGGGGCTGGTGGACCACAGGGAAGGACGCATGAGGTTGGAGTATTTATTACTGGCTGCTCATGACTGACAGTCCCCTCCATACAGCTCTGTCCCCAGCCTCTCCAGCTGTCAGTAGGACAGAGCTGCACTCACCTCCATGATTCCCCACACGTGACCCACCCACCCATGTTTGAAGTTGGGCATCTGAGGTCACAGGCACCCTGACAGACCTGAGGTGCTGCTGGCACTTCACAGCAACGGCTCCTCCCTATGCAGGAGTGACCAGCTCGTTTCAACTTGTCCACCATCCATAACCCTCACTCTCTAAATGCCCAAAGCTCCACAGTTCCTCTGGTGTGGCTGGTTATTGATTTTACTAGCTTTCAGTTTCAAGTTCAACTTTTTTCTCCTACTCTATAAAACTGGAGCTGGGATTTGGACTTACTTCCTTTGCCAGCTGGCACAAAAGGCTTCATCAGCAAAGGATGCTGGAGACGTGTCCAGGAGGAAAAGTGCTATGCTTTGTGCCCCGTGCACCTAAGCTTCTCCAGATTTGGGCCACAGGGCGTGTGGCACCCCCGCCCCTGTGGTTTCTTCTGGGCACAGCCCCTCCACGAGGCTCCCCAGCAACCAGCAGGATTTCCAATCATTTCTGAGACATTTACTACTGAATTCTTCTGATTTCAATTCACTGTTGAATAATCTTTTATATTAAAATTTCCCTGTTAAATTACTATGTAGTTTTTCTCTCCTTATTGGCTTCAGACTGATCCAGAATCTCTACCTGGAATGCCAAGTGTGCCAGGCCATGCTCTCCTAAGATGAAACTGGGGGGTGGTTTGGTTGCACCTTTAGGGTTGCACAGCCCAGGGAAATGGGAAGCCAGCAATCTGCATTATGCAGTGGCATCACAGCTCAGCTGTGGTTGATCTTTTTTCTTTTTTAATTTTATGGGAAAAGGATAAAGCAGCATTGCATAATACATGTTGTTATCTTGAAAGTAGTTGCTCAGGGTATAAGATATGGGCATTCAAAATGTCTCTAATTGGAAGAACTGTGGAACTTCCAACAAGTAGGCGGGTGGACGCTATCCCCGGAGCCCAGCCTATTTGGGACTCCTGCACCTCAACATCGGTGTGCAGAGGAGGGGCTGGGCGGATCTGGGGCGCCTACATCTGCCTCCCCATGTGTCTGGAGGACTGTGGATATCTCAGCAAGGAGGGCAGCATCGCAGGTTCCAGAGGCCCTGAGGCCTGTGGTAAGTGCTCAATGCACTCGGCCCAAAGCCCAGACTGTTCAGGACCCTCCAGGCTTCCAGGTACAGTGAAGTGGAAAAGTGGGTTTGAGGCATCTACATCCCCCTGCCCATCCCGGCTGCGCTTGGAGAACTGTGGAGCTTCCAACAAACAGGTGGGCCCACAGTGTCCCTAAAGCCCAGCTAATTGGAACTATGGAGTTCTAAACAGGCAGAAGAGGGCCATTGGTTCTACAGGCCCAATGGCTTGGGGTAACGGGGTGCCAGAGTCTCAGGAGCTGCGAACATAGAAGGGGATTTCCAACAGACCCTGAGGAAGCTTTCAAATAACACTTGAAACACAGAAATATAGGAAAATGACAAAACGAAAGACCAAATTAAAACCTCAAGCCTCCAGCCCATCTCAAGAAACCCTAGGAGCAATGTATATAGGAGAAAATACATGCCATTCACCTCAAATATCGGACACAATAGCTACTGAAATTAACAAGCAATTCCAGGAAGCTTTAAAGAAATTCAAACTCGAAATAATCTCCCAGGTAAAAAAAGAAATGAAAGAGATTTTGAATATATCTAAAGAAAACACAGCTAAAAAACTGGAGGAACTAAACAAAAAGATAGAATCCCTAGATGAGCAAAATAAGAAATAAACAAAATACATAATGCAGATGCACAGAGATATACAGGAAATAAAAAACTCGACTGAAAGTTGTAAAAACAGCCTCAATGAAAGGGAAGATAGAATTTCAGACCTTGAAAACAGGATTACAGCTAGTGAACAGGAAAGGAAAGATCTTTTTAAAGAAACAAGGAATCAGCAAACAACAATTCAACAACTGCAAGATGATGCAAAGAAAAATAACATAAGAATGATAGGGATTAATGAAAAAGAAGGAGAAAACATAAAGGATGTCAAGAGGATATTTAGAGAAGTAATAGCTGAAAATTTCCCAAGCATGAGATCAGAAACCGACATTAGGATCAGTGAAGCATATAGAACTCCAAACAGTCATAACCAAAATAAAACTACACCCAGACATATAATAATCACCATCCCAGAAATCCAACACAAGAATAGATTGTTAAAAGATGTCAGAGAGAAAAGACAGATCACTTATAAAGGAAAACCTATCAGAACCACAGCAGACATCTCAGCACAAACAATAAAGTCAAGAAGAGCATGGAGTGAAGTACTCCAGATCCTAAAGCAAAATGATTTCCAACCTAGACTGATGTATCCTGCAAAACTATCATTCAAAATTGATGGTGAAATACGATACTTCCGTGACAAAGAACAGCTGAAGAACTTCACGAACACCAAACCAACCCTGCAAAAAATATTGAAAGACAGTTTAGATACACAAAGGAAAAAACCACTAAGCAAAGCAGATAATTAAACAGAACAGAAAGATAAAGATGCAACAGCAGAGAGATAACATTCCTACAATTAACCAGCATTTAACAGTAATAACCATTAATGTAAATGGTCTCAATGCACCAATCAAAAGAAACAGACTAGCAGAATAGATCAAGAAACAAAATCCAACCTTATGCTGTTTACAGGAAACCCATCTAACCCAGAAGGATACTCACAGACTGAAAGTCAAAGGATGGAAAACAATACTTCATGCAGCAGGAATCCAAAAAAAAGCAGGAGTAGCCATTCTGTTTGCAGACAACGTGAACTTTAAACCAACAATGACCATAAAGGACAAAGAGGGTCACTACATACTCATTAGGGGAAAACTCCAAGAGGAAGAGATAACTGTCTTAAATATATATGCATCAAACTCTAGCACCCAGTTATATAAAACAACTATTAACAGAAATGAAAACTCAAATTATCAGTAACACAGTTGTAACAGGAGACCTTAATACGCCATTGACACCAAGGGACAAATGAACCAGACAGAAAATGAGCAAAGAAATAACAGAACTGAATCACACCTGTGAACAAATGGACTTGATAGACATATACAGAATGTTCCACCCAACAACATCAGAATACACATTCTTCTCAGGAGTACATGGATCATTCTCTGAAATAGACCATATATTAGCTCACAGACATATTTAAACAAATGCAAGAGTTAAAATCACCCCTTGCATGTTATCGGATCATAGCGCTCTGAAATTAGAAATTAATGATAAAAGATACTGCAAAAATTCCACAAACACATGGAAACTGAATAACACACTCTTGAGTAATCAGTGGGTCACAGAAGAAATTAAACAATACCTAAAAGAAAATAAAAATGCAGATACAACTTACCGGAATCTGTGGGATGCAATGAAAGCCATCCTCAGAGAGAAATTTATTGCACTGAGTTCCCACATCAGGAAAACAGAACAAATACAAATAAATAACTTGATGCTATACCTCAAACAGCTAGAAAAAGAAGAGAAAGTCAAGCCCAAAGCCAAAAGAACAGAGGAAATTATAAAAATCAGAGCAGAAATCAATGCAATAGAGACTAAGAAAACAATCCAAAGAATCAACGAATCAAGGAGTTGGTACTTTGAAAGAATAAATAAAATCGATAAGCTCCTAGCCAACCTTATTTTAAAAAGGGAAGAAAAAGCTCAAATTCATGCAATAAGAAATGAAAAAGGTGAAATCAGTATAAACCCAATAGAAATACAGAAGATCATCAACACCTATTTCGAAAGCCTCTACTCTCAAAGGCTTGATAACACAGAAGAAACAGGCAGATTCTTAGAAACATATGAAGTACCAAAGCTAGATCAAGAGGATATAAAACTGTTGAATAACCCAATCTCTGCTAATGAAATTGAGAATGTAATTGGGTCCTTGCCCACCAAGAAGAGCCCAGGCCCAGATGGATTCACTGCAGAATTCTACAAGAAATATAAAGAAGACCTAATGCCGACACTCCTCAAACTATTCAATGAAATTGAAAGGGAAGCAATCCTTCCTAAGTCATTCCTGGAAGCAAATATTACTCTAGTACCAAAACCTGAGAAAGACCCAACTATAAAAGAGAACTATAGACCGATCTCCCTAATGAACACAGATGCAAAAATCCTCAATAAAATATTGGCAAATAGGATCCAGCAAATCATCAAGAAGATTATACACCATGACCAAGTGGGATTCATCCCAGGAATGCAAGGATGGTTCAACATACGCAAATCAATAAATGTAATCCACCATATCAATAAAGCCAAAAATAAGAATCACATGATCATCTCTATAGATGCAGAAAAAGCCTTCGATAAGGTCCAACACTTATTCATGATAAGAACTTTACAGAAAATTGGAATAAATGGTCTTTACCTCAATATAATAAAGGCCATTTATGACAAACCAACAGCCAGCATCATACTAAATGGCCAAAAATTGAAAGCCTTTACTTTAAAATCGGGTACAAGACAAGGATGTCCTTTATCACCACTCCTATTTAATATAGTACTGGAAGTACTAGCCAGAGCAATTAGCAAGAAAGGGAAATAAAAGGGGTAAAGATAGGAAAAGAAGAAGTTAAATTATCATTGTTTGCAGATGACATGATACTCTACATAGAAGACCCCCTAAACTCCATTGAAATACTCTTAGATACAATAAATAAATTCAGTAATGTGGCTGGATACAAAATCAATACTCAGAAATCAATAGCATTCCTATACACGAACAACAAAATTACAGAGAGGGAAATAAGAGAAACTGGATTATTCACATTAGCAAGCAAAAAAATGAAATATTTAGGAATTACTCTTACGAAAGAAGTGAAAGACTTATACAGTGAAAATTATAATACACTGAAAAAGGAAATTGAAGATGATCTCAGAAAATGGAAAGACATCCCTTGCTCATGGATAGGAAGAACAAACATTGTGAAAATGGCCATTCTCCCAAAACTGTTATATAGATTCAATGCAATCCCAATAGAAATACCATCAACATACCTTATAGATCTAGAGAAATCACTCCTAAATTTCATCTGGAACCAGAAGAGACCTAGAATTGCAAAGGCAATTCTAAGCAGCAAAGACAAAGCAGGAGGCATCACAATCCCTGACTTGAAGTTATACTACAAAGCAACAGTAGTAAAATCAACATGGTATTGGAATCAAAACAGAGCTGAAGATCAGTGGAATAGATTAGAAGATACAACCACAACTACGAACACACTCAACCACCTTATTTTTGATAAAGGAGCCAAGCAGGTTCACTGGAAGAACGACAGTCTCTTTAATAAATGGTGCTGGAAAAACTGGCTCTCCATTTGCCGAAAACTAAAGCTAGACCCATGTCTATCACCATGTACTAAATTAAAATCTAAATGGGTCAAAGATCTGAATATTAAAACAGAAACACTAAATCTATTGGAAGACAAAATAGGTAGAAACCTTGGAGACATAGGAGTAGGTAAAGAATTCATGAACAGGACTCAAACCGCACGGGAAATACTTCCCAGAATCAATAACTGGGACCACTTCTTATTAAAAAGTTTCTA